ATTTCTTACCTTTTAATCTCAAGCCCAGGAAGAAAGCTAACATAGGACTGTTCTTGGCAGTGCCCATTTGATAGTTTTCTGACTGGATCTTCAAGCTGATGCTGCTTCATGGACAAACTGAACACACACCCAAAGCAGGACCTTCTGGTTCTCAGAGCTAGGCAAATTATTTATCCAAACTCTGGAGGTCAAAGTCACTCAGAACCTTATGAGGTGAGTAGAATAGCTATAATCAAATATTAATTTATTAAAAATATGTATTGAGTATTTCCAGGTAACTTTCTAAGCAGAAAGCAGTTTACAATTATTGAGCCTCCCATCCCTCAAACAAGCAGCTACAGAACAGTAAGTCATACTTTATGTTGTTTCAAAGGGCAGAATCAAGCTGGAGATTTAGGGCAGTTCTTTGCTTTTGGGAAGAAACAGCATTTCTTTTTCTTTGGGTTTTTCCCTATTCACCGTATATATTCAATTACCATGTACTGTTTTCATAACATGAAAAAATATTTTGTTCTATTTTATATTTATATGTGTGTGTGTCTACCAAAACCAAAAACCTGACAAAGGGAGATTGCTTTTTGAGTTGAAACAAACAGATAAACATTTGCAAAGGATGATGTGACCTTAAGAGCATTATGCTAAATGAAATAAGCCAGTCACCAAAGTATAAATAATGCATGATTCCACTTACAACAAATACCTAAAATAGAGTCAAACTGTAGAAATGGTGGTTGCCAGGGGCTGAGGGAAGTAGAAACAGGGAATTACTAATCAGTGGACATAAAATTACAGTAAATCGATAAGCTACATCTTCTGGAAAACAATTTACCTAGAGTCAGCAATAATATATTACATACTTCAAAATGTGTCAAGGTATTAGATCTCATGTTAAAGTTTCTAACCAAAATAAAAAAATAAAAAAAAAAATAGAATGGAATGTTCTAATACATCCAGTATAGGATTGGATCTAAGAGTATGACTAGTCTTTTTTATTAATTTAATTAGTAAAAATTACAACATGAATTACTATAAATTAGACTCTACAAATAAAGATATACAAGTGGTCAATAAATACATAAAAAATTCTAAACATCTTTTGTCCTGAAAGTGCAAATTAAAACCACAAGTTTCCATGCCAATCATTAAATGGCTAAAATCAAAAGAAAAACAAAAAATATTGGTGAGTACAAGGAGAAACGGGGAAACTGCTCCCAGTAAATGTGATATAAATTGATGCAGCTACTTTGGGAAAAAAGATATGTTAAATGTTAGAAAGTTAAACATATCTTCACCCTATGACCCAGAAACTTTATTCTCATTTGTCTACCAAAGAGAAAATACATGCTCATGGAAACATTTAGACAGGAATATTCAAAACAGCATTAGTCATAGCTGAAACAGGAAACAACCCAAATATGCATCAGGTGAATGAACAAGTTGTCTATATTCATACAGTAGAATACAACTAAGTGATACAAAAAGAATTACTAATACATGAATGAATCTCAAGAAATTGTTAAGCAGAAGAAACAAGACAGAAGAAGATTACACATTGTATTATTTCTTTTGTTATGAAATTCACCAACAAAAGGAGTTTATAGGGACAGAAATCAGAAAGTAGTTGCCTTAGGGAAGGAGAATTTTCTGAGTTTAGGGAAATGTTCTATATCTCTCATCGCTTGATAGATAAAAGCCTGTACAAAAATCTCAAACAACTTATATAATTAAATGCACAGCCTGGACGTTTTATTGTACGCCAATTATACCCAAACATTATATCTATATATATTTTAATTATGTAACTTTTAAAGAGGGATATAGTATCCAACTTAAAGAGTTCTCATTTACAAAAGATGGGACAATTTGAACAATAGAGAGAATGAAGCCCATCTTGGCTCTCTATAAGCTAAGGGTGTGAATCTGAAAATAAAAATTATTTTCCATTGGAGTCTTTTAGGGCACTAATTCATTATTCTGAAAGCAAGTTAATGGGAGAACATTTAGTACTCCTGGACTCTCTTGATTTCAGGATAAGCAGACATGCTGTTTCTACTAACTGATAATAGACAAATCAAATACCCTCTTTTGAGTCATGTTTCTACTCAGAAGATATCACAGTGGCATCTAACCAGGTGGCATGCTCACTCATATGGAGACTCCATTCCCTTGGTCTTCAGAGAGAACCCCCTCTTCTTACGGTTCTCCTCTTGATCTCTGCTTTTCTCCCCGGTGACCCACAGTCTTAGTGCCTGTCTGAGGTGCTATCTCCAGAGGTATCATAACCTCTGGCATCTCCCTGTAGGTCTTGCCAGTATCACCTCCCATACTTCAACCTCGCCTTTTCTTTCAGTTTAAGGAGAGATAGGAGGAGGCCTGGGTTCCCTCCAGACTCTGTCCAGGGCCCTGTATCTCCAGGCATGGATCTAGACCTGATCGTCCAGTGGCATTCGGAGGTAGTGACAAGGAATCAGTGCCCTCGGCTTTTGCCCTCCTTGGCCAAAGAAGGGAGAAAGCAGTGCTACAACTGATTGCTGCCTTAATTCTACCCCTCTGTCAATCCACTTCCCCATTCTTATTTACGTCTTTCTTCCTTCTTTCCCCATCAAATAACTAAATATTTCATTTCATCTCCAACTGGATTTGAGTTTCTAAGAATTTATGTGTTATTGCATAATTATTGCATAAGGCTTTATGTTTTAGAGATAAATGTTAGATAAATAAATAAACTGGTAAGAACAAGGCAAGCAGTGGTCCACAAACTATATATTGGCTTTCTAAGACTCATGAATATTTTGTCTTTTTACATTGTGAAGCCTTCTGGTTAAAAATACAATTGATAGGAATTATGTTTAGTCACCTGAATCCAATTAGTTTAACTTGGTAGGATTCGGATTTAATGAGATTTAGTCCAAGGATTTAATTCCCACAAGAGGCCGTTAGTTTCACTCATCTTCCTAATAGAGGCTTTACCCTAACACAAGCCAGCCCTGTTCAAGACATCAGAGTGTGCATCACTGTAAACACCTTATTACCACTGGGAAATCAATGAAAAGCATATTGGTTTTTTGATCATCTCCATAAATGGACAAATGGCTGTTAGATGAGTTATATAAATCTTATTGGAAGACTTCTACAAAACTACCCATAAATGTCTTGAGAAATATTAGGGATGATTATTTTTAAATTAATAGTGGTAATCTTTCCCTAAATATGGTAATCTGTTTTGCTTTCAAATGTGAATAAAAGTCTCCTGTGTTTTCTTTCTTATTAGTGTCTAACCCAATCAAATAAAAATAACCAGTATAAAAATCTATATATTTTCATAAGCATTCTAGCTGGTTCTTATGATCAAGGAACAGTTGAGAAGCACTGTGTTAATATCCTTTCACAGTTTTAGTTATAATTAGGTTCACAAGCATTAGCTACCATTAGAGAAATGGTATTCAGCATCAGATTGTTTGACAGTAAACAAGCTGAAGACACAGAGCAAGCAATACACAATTTATAACGTTGGCATCATAGGCATCATACTCTTATCTGAATGTACTGGTTGAGGACCATTTTTACAACACATACTGGAGTCTTTTTATACACATTTTTTATATCAGGTCTTAGCGAATACAATAAAAAACCCTGCAAAGTTACAAACTAAAAAGCAAAAATGTTAAGAATTTAAATAGCCTCTTGCATTGTTATTACCACCTTATATCTATTTTTGTCAAGATTTATTTATTTATTTGAAAGTCAGAGTTAGAGAGAGAGAGAAGGAGAAGCTGAGAGAGAGAGAGAGAGAGAGGTCTTCCAGCCTCTAGTCCACTCCCCAATTGGCCACATTGGCCAAAGCTGCGCCAATCCAGAGCCAGGAGCTTTCTCCTGGTCTTCCCATGCAGGTGCAGAGGCCCAAGGCCTTGCGCCATCTTCCACTGCTTTCCCAGGCCATGGCAGAGAGTGGGATAGCAAGTGGAGCAGCCGGGACTTGAACCAGCACTCACATGGGATGCCAGCACAGCAAGCGGCCATTTTACCCGCTAAGCCACAGCACTGGTCCCCTTATATTTAATAATACATCCAGTTTCCAGCATTAGCATGTCCAACAACAAAGTAAATATACCTTCCTGTTATAAATCTCCAGTTACTTTCAGAACGCAGCTTCAATATTAGTAACTGAAGGGAGACATTTCAATGCCATAAAGAAAAACAAATCATTTCAAAATATGTACATTGAATGCATACCTAGAGTATACTACATCATAGCATATATATTGTATTTCCTGCAGCAAGGTACTGATTTCTCAAGCTATAAACATTTCAATGTATTCAATAACACATATGATATAGATTGAACCACATTTCACAACTAGTTCGACTTATACCTACACTATAAACTTTTGTATTTGCCAAGGGGTTGGACTACAAACTGCTTGTCAATGAGCTAAATTTAAAATCAGTTCCCATCAAATACATTCTCTTATCTAAAAATGGTTCACCATGCAAAGATCAGAAAAAAACAAAGTGCAGACAGCAAATCACTAAGGAATAAACTATTTATCTTTTAAAGTATGTATGTGTGCCTAACTGAGAAGTAATTAAGTTAGAGCAAATGATACTGTGTTTTACCAACACTAACATAAAATCTCAGTTTCTACCACTGCGTATATATTTATTTTCTATAAGATCAGTTTTTTATTCACTTAAAGTATCTGAATAACAACTCAAATTGTCATTTGAAATTTCCTCACAAATAACAATATTTGATAATGTTATTTAACGAGGTCTGGAAATAGCAGAATGAGGGTTTAAAAAATAACAGTAGATGGGCCTAATTCTACTAAGAGATACCATTCCAAAAAAGGCATAATATAACAGTTAAAGAGCTCATTCTTTCTCATTTAGTTTTCTGTAAACAAATCTGAAGGGAAATGAACTGTCCATTTGCAAAGAAGAAAATAAAGAAGAGCAGAGTTAGTGTTACTACAGACACAGACCAAGAGAATGCATACCTTTCTCTCTCTCCTTCTGTGACATCATATAAGCGATTGGCACCTCCATCAGCACAGGCTCTTAAAAGAGCTTTAAAAAGAAAGAACAAAAACTATTCAACACAGGAAGCAGAACACAATGTCTTTCACATGACAAATATTAGAAAAATGACACTCAGACACACATACCGTCACACTGACCTCCCTGAGTCATTTCACTTGCAGCTAGCAACACTGCTAGCACTAAACATGACTCCGCAGAGCCCAAGACGGGCAAGGCAGAGTCACCTGGAGACAAAGTCTATTTCTTTTTTGTCTCTGTCAATCCTTCAGATTCAGTAAAGGAAAAGACTGCTTATAGTGCTAGCAGATCTTCCATATTTCTTAAGACTTTTTTTTCCCTCCTGTATAACAGAAGGAAGACCTCGAATTCAATAACAGGCAACAACAAATAATTATTACATTCTTTTCTCTTAATTTTCATAGATATTTGTTATGGCTGGTATGATGACATTCCATTTTTATTGTCATTTTAAAATTTATTTTTAAACAAATCAATAGTTGATCTTAGAACATAAGTAAATTATTATTTAGATAATATGTGAACAATGTAAATCTTGTGAAGGTGGTACAAAGTTGGACACAGGTTGCAATATGCTAAGTAAATCAAACAAAACCTGTCATTTCTCCAACTTGAATTTTTGTTTCTTCCTTTCTCACGTTTCCCCCCTGCTACTGCCATGGATTTTGATGTTGGTAATAATAGCTCCTTCAAGTTCTCTCAGTGCATGGAATGCAATTTTGTTGCAGGTGCTATCACTGTGATTTCTAATTTTCATAGATATATCCAGTACCTTAGCATCAGCTCATATTGAACACTGAAAAGCATTAAACGAACAGGGAGTTAGCCAAAGTCTTCAGGCAGTATAACAGGATTTCTCTCTCTTTTTTTTTTTTTTTAAGATTTACTTATTTATTTGAAAGTCAGAGTTACAGAGAGAGACGGAGAGGGAGAGGGAGAGGGAGAAAGAGAGAGAGAGAGAGATTGAGAGAGAGAGGTCTTCTATCAGCTGGTTCACTCGCTGGATGGCCACAAGGACCGGAGCTGCACTGAACTGAAGTCAGGAGCTTCTTCCAGGTCTCCCACATGGGTGCAGGGGCCCAATGACTAGAGCCATCTTCTGCTTTCCCAGGCTATAGCAGAGAGCTGGATTGGAAGCGGAACAGCTGGGACTCAAACTGGCGCCTATATGGGATGCCCGCACAGTAGGTGGTGGCTTTACCCACTATGCCACAGCACTGGCCCCAACAAGGTGTCCACTTTAAGCATCTTCCTACAATGGTACAAAAAGGCTGGGGGCACAACAAACTAAAGTCCGTGCCAAGAATCAACTGACAAAGTAATTTAACAAAATTAGAAATAATTATATAGATAGGTGAAAATAGAGGGCCAGCGCTGCGTATAGCAAGTAAACTGCCACCTGCAGTCTGGTATCCCATGTGGGCACCAGTTTGAGTCTCCACTTCTCCACTTCTGTTCCAGCTCCATGCTAACGTGCCTGGAAAAGCAGTGGAGGATGGTGTAAGTCCTTGGCCCCAGAAGCCACATGAGAGCCTGGGAAGAAGCTCTTGGCTTCTGGCTTCGGATTGGCTCAGTTCTGGCAGTTGTAGCCATCTGAGGAGTGAACCAGTGGATGTAAGATTTCTTTCTCTCTGCCCCTGCCTCTCTATAACTTACTTCAAATAAATAAATAAATACTTTTTTAAAAAGGTGAAATTGGATGTGGGGTATATATGTATATTCCCTTATGTATAATTTCTATATTTGAAACATATAATACTTGAATTGCATATAGCATCTAAAAGACAGTAAATGATACATGATTTGTTTTAGAAGTGTAAATTTATAGATACTACTAAATTACACTGAAAGAAATCCACAATTTCTATGGAGGAAATTTTCCCCAAATTTAACCCATCCAGCAAGGTGCGATGTCATGGAACTATATGAAAAATGTTGGAATTGTCTCAAATATTTTCAGTGGACCTAACAACCTTCTGAAACATCAGACCCATATCCCTTTGCCAGGTTTAAGGCATATTTTGTAAGGCTGTCCTGCAGGCAAACACTCTTTTTGTTTGGCTATAAATACACATAGTTTGACCTCATTTTTGAAAGAGAAACTAAGTACAATACCTTAAACTGGCAAGAACTTAGACAATATTAGTACCCTGGCTTCTGGTATCCACAGCTACCCTGCTAATTTTAGACTATCAACCCATTTGCTAGACATGTAACCTGCCTTATCTCTTAAGCTACTTTTAAGATCTTCCCTTTGACTTTGATGTCTCAAATTTCACTATCATATTTCTTATTTGGAATTAATTGTTGCTTCCTAAATCTGAGGATCTATGTCTTCAGTTCTGGAAAATTCTTACACATTTGAATTCAATCATTTCCTATCACACATTCTCTCTAGCTATCTATCTTTGGGTATTCGATTTAAATATATTTTTAGACAATCTCATTCTGCCCCTCCTATTTCTCAAAGTATTATTGTTTTTCTTCTCTTCTCTCTGTATATATGGGTAATTTCTCCAAATCTTTCTATCAACTTATAAAGTCTCTCTTCAGGTATGTCTAGTCTCCTGTTTAAAACACCTAAGTTGGGAATTCCAAGATGGCTAAATAGGGAAAAGACATGATGATTCTGACTAGGGAAAGATGGCAGAAAAAAGCAGAGAAAGTTCCTGTTACCGGTGAAGGGCAGGGTTCTTGTCTTCGCGCAAGAAAGAATTCAGGTGTGAGACAGAGAGTAGTGGAAAGTAAAACAGCAAGGTTTATTAGGGAAGGGACATCCGTAAGAACGGATGGGCACCTCTCCAGACAGAACCTGAGAGAGAGTGCCCAGTCACTCAAACTGGGGGAGGGCGAGGTTACATGGTTGAGTGGAGAGAGTACACCTAGGCAGGCCAGGCGGGCGGCTCAGCAGAGAGGCAGAGGGCCAAGTGCTCAGCCTGGATGAGGCAGGGGGTGGGGGGTGGGGGGTTAAGGGGATGGGCCTTGCCTTGCTGCCTCTGGTCTTCCTAGAACAAAGGACTTTTTGGATGTAAATAGGAAAAATTCCTATTTGAGTTTTCCCCCTGAAGTTATCAGACAGGAGGAAGCCTGGCTGGTTAGAGGAAGGATGGGCGGGACCTCCTGGAAGATTGGTAGGATGTGTGAGGGCTGCACCTGGAAGGTTAGCAGGCAGAAGGGGCGGGGACCCCCACCTGGCAGGTTATGGGGTAGAAGGGGGCAGGGCAAGATGCAAATACTGGGCTGCCCCTGGAAGGTTATTGGGATGACTTTGAGATGCATGTGCTGGACCTAAATGTCTCCTTAGGCCTTTGTCACACACACATAAGCTCATATCTGACTTCCTACCTAACATTCCCAGGGGAGAGTTGGAGAGGAGTGTGCATCGGAAATTTTGCAGCAGGAAGAACACCGTGGAGGAGAATGGAAAGTGTGCACCCACAGCATTTGACAGTGAGGTGAGAGCAGACGGTGGCACCTGCCCAAATAGTGAGAAATTCACATTTTTATCTGCCTTAGAGTCTGGCTGGGAGTGTTGACAGGGACCTGGTACCCACTTAAGATGGTGAGGTACCCCCCATCCTCTCAACCTATCACAGGCTCTGCCAAGAAGAGCACCCAAAGGCAGGTGGCTCTGGAATTGACTGCTCTCTTCATGGATGGGGCAGGCTTGCAGGACAGAGAGGAGATCCTCTGCAACCCGTTACTGTGGGAGCCTTTGGCACTGTGACTGCACGTTAGGGCCTGGGGTGCAGCTGGGTCTTGGGCACAGCACCCTGACTTCTTGGGGTGGGTCATGCTGAGCGTTCCACGCAAACACTGAAGACAGCACAGGTCCCTAGTGCAGATCATGCAATAGCATGGGTAGGGACTGTGTCCACTGTGGGCTAACCCTGGGCACTGGTCACCTTGGAAGAGAGGTGGTGAGGTTGATGTGTTCACACCCTCCCCTCTGCTGCTAAGAGAGGAGATCTACAGCACCCAGCTTGAGTGTCACACTGAACACTCGCGGAACCCTGGAGCACTGACCAGAACTCCCTGGCCACACCCATGCCTCTGGGTATTCAATGAAAGAACAGAGTCTCCTAGAAGCCACAGAAGCATAGTCCAAACATACAAAGAGACACAAATTGGAAAGGAGGAACTCAAATTAGCCCTGTTTGCAGGTGACATGATTCTGTATACATGGGAACCAAAAGATTCCATTAAGAGATAACTAGAACTCCTAAGACAGTTTGCTAAAGTTACAGGATATAAAACCAACAAACCAAAATCAATAGCCTTTCTATACACATACAATACCATCACTGAGAAAGAACTTGTAAGATCAGCCTCATTCAAAATTGCCAAAAGTAAATTAATTCCTTGGAATAAATTTAACCAAAGAAGTGAAAGATCTCTGCAATGAAAATTACAAAACATTAAAGAAATAGAAGAAGACACAAAAAATGGAAAAATCTTCCATGTCCATGAACTGGATTTAATATCATCAAAATGACTATACTACTAAAGCAATTTACAGGTTCAATAAATCAATCAAAATACCAACATCATTCTTCTCAGATCTAGGACAAACAATGCAAAAATTCATATGGAAACACAACAGACTCCAAATAGCTAAAGCAATCTTTAACAGCAAAAACAAAGCCAGAGGCATCACAATATCAAACTTCAAGACATAATACAGGACAGTTATAATCAAAAAAGCCTGGTACTGGCACAGAAATAGACATGTAGACTAACAGAACATGATAGAAACCCCAGAAATCAATACAAGCATCTACAACCAATTAATGATTGAAAAGGGAGATAAAAACAATGCATGGAAAATGGACAGGGTCTTCCACAAATGGTTCAGGGAAAATTGGATTTCCATGAGCAGAAGCATGAAATGCCTTCCTTACACAAAATCAGCTCAAAATAGATCAAGGATCTAAATCTACAACCTGACATCACTGATAACATAAAATTCCCAGAGAACATTGAAGAAACTCTGTAAGACATTGGCATAG